GGATTCTCCAGCATCTGCAGTTCCTACTATCTCTGATCCATCCTTCCTTAAGTTGGATTCCTTTACTAGAGCATTTACTTTATGCTAGTGACCGCTCTACTGGCTTCCTCTGGCCTTTTGTTTCATGTCAAAAATCAACCTCAAAAGATTTTGAATTTTCATAGAAGTAACCGAACTTCCACCGGAAATTCATCTGTTCCCCTGGGAGTTCCAACAATCTCCCTTGAGTTTGCATTCGGAGTGTGAAATCAGCCACCGATGCAAACATTCAGAGCCAGAATGCCCTGAGAACCAGCAGGCCAAAGCTCTGCACCAGATGTGGAAAAGTGTCAACATGGTCTTTTACCTTTCAGCTCCATTTAACTTCCAGCGGTGTTTTCGGGACATCAGTAGACCCCCGCCCCAGGCTGCCTGAATAAGACAGAGCACAAAGTGAAACATCGCAGTGTCAACATTTCTCACCTTTAAGACAACAAAAAAAAAATCTGGAAGTGGGTTGGAGTCACACTGTGGAAATGCTTTTCAATTTGGAGAGAGATGCCTACTTCTGTTTGCTCAAAATAAGCCGAATGAGGCCTGTATTTAGTTATAATTTGCCTTTGATTTAAAAAGCAATAAACCTCAACGCTGAATTGAAGGCTCAAAAAGTCTCAAGTGCTTGATTTTCTTTAGCCCCAGCAAATTATACTGAGACAGTCCAGCTGCCAGCTCAAAGTATACCAAAAGTGAATGGAGGAGACTGTGTATAATTTTGCAGATACCACGCAGAGAAATAAACAAATAATTAGATGAATAACTAAATTCTCGAGACAGCTCTGGCTTTGCACTAGTAATGAACTAACTGGAGATGCCAAAAATCTGGTTAGTAGCTTAAATTTAAAGGGAGGGATAATTTAAACATAGATAGCTACAAAGAGAGGCAAGCAATGTCTCAGCCTGTTATACTTCAATTGGCATGCTTAGTTTCAGAATAGTATGAAAGACATTCGTGGTTTCAGTCCAAATGTTGTTTGCAGATATACCAAAAAGTGCAAACAAACATTGGAATTAGATCAGATGTAGGCTATTCAGCCTTTCAAGCCTGCTCCACCATTCAATGATTCTAAATTCCTCATTCCCATCTATCCTGATCTCTTTTAATTTAACAGGACAACCATTTCATTGTTATCTGAGTGAACAGTAATAGCAGCACGATATGGCAGTCCAATTTCATCATGCTGGTGGATTCCCATTAAGTGCAAAGGGTGGTTCAAGCTGTTGGGTGCAATGCCATGGTCTTCATGACCAGCAATGAGTCACAGTCATCAGTATTTGGATAAACTGTGAGCATTAACTCTGCATCTTGCAAGACAACACCTTTCAAGCAGGAGTAGTCATTCTAAGACAACCACCTCTGACAAACTTATTTGAGAGATAAGGCAACTTACAATGATGGTTTTTCAGGGATTAACTCACTCAGAGATGGTAAGAACTGCTGATCCTGGAGTCAGAGTCAATACAGTGTGGAGTTGGAGGAACACAACAGGCCAGGCAGCATCGGAGGAGCAGGAAAGTTAATGTTTTGGGTCGGGGTCCTTCTTCAGAAATGGGGGAAAGGAAAGGAAGTTGGGAAATAAATAGAGAGAGGAGGAGTGGAGCTGGGGAAGGTAGGTGGGATGGTGATAAGTGAACACAGGTAGGGAGTAGTCAGTGGGATGGGTGGGGCAGATAGGTGGGAGAGAAGGTGGACAGATTGTGTTAGGACAAGGAAGCGGGAAGGATGATGGGTGGCCTTGCAAAAGGTAGGTGGGGTAGTGATAGGTTGGGTGCAGGTAAGGGGTAGTGGGGATTGGTCTCTTGCATTTCCTGCACTTCTGCCCTCAAACCGCGTCCCCCCAAGGGACTGCTCTCTCTGTGACTCCCTCATCTGCTCCACACTCTCCGCTAGCCCCACCATCCTCGGCACCTTTCCCTGCAACCGCAGGAAGTGCTACACCTGCCCCTACACCTCCCCACTCACCTCCATTCAAGGCCCAAAGCAAACATTTCATATCTGGCAGGGGTTCACCTGTACATCCTCCAACTTGGTCTACTGTATCTGTTGCTCCCAGTGTGGGCTCCTGTACTTTGGTGAGACCAAGCGTAGACTTGGGGCCCATTTCGTAGAGCATCTGCTTTCTGTATACGACAAACGACAACACCTTCCGGTTGCCAACCATTTTTATTCCCCCTCCCACTCCCTGGATGACATGTCCATCCTGGGCGTCCTCCAGCGTCACAATGACACTACACACAAACTGGAAGAGCAACACCTCATATTTCGCATCGAGAGCTCACAGTCCAATGGCCTCAACATAGAATTCACCATTAGAAATGTCCCCAACTCCTGGCCTCACTCCATGTCAGCCCCTCCCTCTTGTCCCTGCCTTCTTGACCTGACACAACCTGTCCACCTTCTCTCTCACCTGTCCGCCCCATCCATCCCACTGAGCAATCCCCACCACTGCCTACCTACACTCACCTATCACCATTCCACCTACCTTCCCGAGCCCCACCCCTCCTCTCTATTTATTTCTCAGATCCCTTGCCCTCCCCCATTTCTGAAGAAGGGTCCTGACCTGAAACCTCGATTTTCCTGCTTCTCTGATGCTGCCTGGCCTGCTGTGTTCATCCAGCTTCACACTGGGTTGTCTCTTCAGGGATTAAGGTGAGCATCTACAGCCACAGCTAAGGGCACCCTAACCAGCCACTGACAGAGCAGATTGAGAACTTTGTGAGGCCATGCAGACACTAGGTTCATGGTAGATAGCATTCCAAGGAATTTGAAACAAAATTTCTAAAAAACCTGTGGGTCAGAAGCCTGACTTGCTGGATATTTTTTGTAATTTGAAAGAGCCAGGAGGACTACAGTAAAAGATGCTCACATTGCTCACATGCAGCCAAATTCCTAAACTATTCCTTCAATAATCACCCTTCCGCCCTATCCACATCATAGTTCAGTATCACAGGCTGAATATCCGACAATTCATTTGTTATTGCTGTTCTGTGATGAGGAAATTAGTTCTTATATTCATGTAATTGCATTTTATACCTCACTACATTTCTTTAAACCCCAATTATTAATCACTGCTTTTTTTTTCTTTGTCTTTCTTAGACCTGTTTCTGATGTTCAAAAATGTGCAAAAACGTGATAGCTGGTCTGGGCCTGGATGATAGCTCATACTGTAGTCTGTGCATCACTGTTCACATTAAAGTGTGAAAATGTCTAATAGATGAAGCTGCAATGAAGATAACTTGAAAAGAAATGGAGAAAGCCTGGATGAATGGTAATCAGTTTATAATGAGGCAGAGAAGCATATTCAAAAAAGGTCAAGAGGAAAAAAATGCTGTGGAAAACAGAATAGCTGTAGAGGAAGATTGAAAGAGACCAAATATTGACAGATGCAACTATGGTGCAATTTGCAATTTTGCTTTGACTGTAAGATCCATACATCATTAAGGATAGCCAATTTAGATAGTGATCTGATCCTACTGTGAATAATCATTCCATTTTCATAGATTTACAGTGAAATGCTGTTTTGTTGTAAGTTTTGTGATTTATGCTGTATTGTGACAGGAATTAATATTGTGAATTTAAGTTTGTAAGTCAGTGTAACTGATTGGTGCACTGCATTATTTTTCATCCAAATATCAAACGCTCACATGGCTCTACACTTGTATTGCATTTCTCGCTTCTCCACTATGTAGATGATGACAATACTAAAGCTTAGCCCATTATTCAATACTATCAGCAATATGAAATTTATATTACAAGGTGGCTCTGTGAAGATCAATCATAGCAGATTGTGCAGGCTGGAGAAGTTTCCTCTTGAAGGTTATTTATGTGAATGGACTCACTTACATCAACGTGCATCCAGATCTTGTACTTGTTACATATATCAGCGATGGCCACAAGAGGATCAAAGGCACCATATACGGTCGTCCCAGCTGTAGCATTCACAAAGAATGGCACAAAGCCCTGAACAAAACAAAAGGAGTCTGATTAAAAACAGTTGCATGAAGTATTTAAAGGAGGCACCAAAATGGTATAACGCAGTTTCCCAGTATTAGAATATAAGAGTTTTCTGTTTACCTTCCTGTACTTTGCTGCACTCTTCTCTAAGATCTTTGGAATGGAATGTAAAGGGCACTGAGAATAATGTCCACTTTTTCTGGCACCCCTTAGAAAGGCTGCATTTCTATTTGGAGAAATGTTTGGAGAGATTTGACGGGGCTGAGCTTGCAATCTGATGCCTCATTTCCGTGGCAACCCATACATAACCAGTAGACCTAGGGGAAATCCCAGCAATTCTGGGAATAATTACACAGACAAGATCCTGGATCATGGTTTGCTTTGTTTCCCCTGACTCCCAGGAATTAATAGTGCAATAATTCTTCAAGCCAGTTTGGGCCTCAGCTCCTTATTTTTAGAGAGCCATGCAGGCCATTGTCAAACTCCATTTGATTTAGTCTCCGCCTCCTCTCCCTATCTCTTCCCCACCTTTGATTGTCTGCATTGCCCTTAATGGGCTTTGCATTTAAATTAATCAATTAGAAAACGTGAGTGATTTATTGGTGGTGGGTAATAGGTGAAAAAAAATACCACGGGTGATTTGGCAATGGAAGAAAAATGTTCAGTTGTGTGTAAGAGCACTTCTGGATAAAAAAAGAGTTGGGTTTTTCTTCTCCTTCAAAGCCATTTTAATTTAGACCCCCTCTCTCCCCACCTTTCTCACTTTTCTTGTTGTTGCACTGCCCCTGATGGGTTGTGCTTGTAAAGTATTCATTTAGTCAGAAACACAGATGATTCTCCGATGGAAATAAAGTAAACAACTACATGGGTCATTCGGTGATGGTAAAAAAAAACATTCAGTTGTGCTAAAGCATCTCCAGATGGAAATAAAATGAAGAAAAATGAGTTTGGTTCTTTCCCACTGAGGAAGTGGCTTGTGGACAAAAGGGTCCAGAGGAAATGGTAGAAACTTGTGTTTGTATAAAACAATAGATTTGCAATAACACCCTTGCTATGCAATCAGTTTTCTGGCAGTTCTCGAGGGTAGGACTTCCTGCTTACTGAGTGGTAGAAAACAGACCCTCAGACTGTTTAGCCTACTCTAACCATATGACTGCTGTGGGGTAGGCTTTTTAAACATTGGCCCATTCACAGTTAACTTTCTTTCCAGGGAGCAGTCAGCTGCCACCTCCACCAACCATACAAATCAGTGTCTCCACTGCTATGGTCATTGTTTGCAGGCGCAAATATTGTAACTTTTCTCCGAGTGGTACAATCTCGGCTGCCTTAAATAACCTTTAACAAGCCACAGAGATCTGATGTTGGGAAGAATTCAAAATAGCTCATATGACTCCTTTCATTCCTACAACTTACCCTACATTAAAGAGACAGTGCTAAAGCATAACAATCTTCCAAACTTCGCAGAGATAGTAAGAACTGCAGATGCTGGAGTCAAGGATAACACAGTGTGGAGTTGTGAATAAGGGTCCCAACCCGAAATGTCAACTTTCCTGCTCCTCTGATGCTGCCTGGCCTGCTGTGTTTCTCCAGCTCCACACTGTATTACAAACCTGGCATTTGTAATACAGGGCTAACTTACACTGATTTCCTTTCTCTACCTGATAACTGAAGTCTACAGTTTCCTGAAAAAAGATAGTTGATACCAAAGGTTCAAACAGTAATCTGAACCCTGCCAATCCACATCAAAGTAATTGGAATACTATCACAGCAGTGTAACTGGTCCTGATCAGTAACTTGATAAAATGCAAACCCATATGAGGCAGCTGGGTTGTTGAATTCTTAAACCAATTACAAAATTTGTCACTAGCTCCTTGACTGTATGGTTGGTTGACTACAAATAGCAACTTATTTGATAGCTGACATCTGAGTGCTCCAAACTGGCACTGTTCCCACAGGAAATTCAGAATTAATTCAGAATTGAGTGTAGGAAATATGCAACAGTTTTAATTGGGTCTATATTTAATTAAAGAATGAACTGACCTTTTCCTTAGCTTCAAGTATTCTTCTCTCAAGGTCTGATGGGATGATTTTCCCCCTGCAATTTTCAGAAAAAATATTCACATTTTGAAATGTGCTACCCATCTGCAAATGGAATTTTAATTATTTGCTTTTTTGTAAAAGCAAACTAAAATCTGTGGTTTTGCCCTGTATGCCAAACCACTTCCTGTATTCGGTAAAAGACTCAGTTTCTAATCTTAGTAATACAGGGTTGTTGAAAAGTGGGGAGCAAGGTGAGATGACAGGAGTGAGTGGGGGGCAGTCACCTTTTCCTGGTTAATTGTCATGCCAACTAGTGGAAGACTTGAGACTCTGTAAAAGGTGAGTACCAATTCAACACATTGACAAAGCTCTCTTTCAGCCATGTAATCCTCTGGAACGTCTGCCCGTGACTAATTTTAGCCTCTTGAGCATTCACAATTTTAATCATTCCACCACTGGCTCCAGCTAGCAAGCTCCTGAATTTCTTAATTTCCTCCATAAATCTGCCTATTTTTCTATTTCTCTCTCTTCTTTAAAATATGACCTCTTTGATCACACTTTTGACCATCTCGCTTCTTTGTTCATTGAATGGGAGATGAACAGAGGGATAAAAATTGTGCATGGGCAATAAGTAGTGGATCTAAATAAGGATTAGGAATTGGCGCAGGCTTGATGGGCCGAAGGGCCTGTTCCTATGCTGTATTCTTTCTTATTTATTCTAATAATCCTGTATGTGACTTAGTGTTACATTTGACATTGTTTGTGACATTCATAAGGACAGATCAGCCCTAATTTCATTCCTGGGTCAGGAATGCAGAGTTGCATGTAACTCCTTTCCAGTAACATGACCTTGAACAATAACACTGAACTAGTAACTCAGAACCATAGGCTTATTCTCTGAGGAGATGAGATCAAACCTCACGATGGCTGATTGTGAAATTTGAATTTTAAAATGTGTGGAATTAAAGGATTGCTTAATGACAACCATGTCAACATTGCTGATTGTCATCTTGTTCACTAACAAAAACAGAAATTGCTGGAAAAGCTCAGCAGGTTTGGCAACATCTGTGGAGAGAAATCAGTTAACGTTTGGGATCGAGTGACCCTTCCTCAGAATTGTTCACTAACATCCTTTAAGGAAGGAAATCTGCTGTGCTTTATTTGTCTGGTACCTACATGTGAATCGAGGCCCACAGCAATGTGAATGACTCAACTGCCCTCTGAAATGGCCTAGTAAGAAACTCAGATGGATCAAATCGCTATAAGGTCCAAAGGAATGACACAAAACAGACACCCAGCACTGGAAACCACAACAGCCCTGTCGACCATGCAAAACTTCCTTACTGACTTCTCAGGCTTGTGTCAAAATTGGGAGAGAAGTCCCACAGACTAGACAAGCAACAGCCTGACACAGCCATACCTACAGTATCATACTTGATAGATGATACTTCAGACATCACCATGATCGTTCCTCAGGAAGCCCTGTCCTACCTGCAGGATGCACTCACTAGAGGTGGTAACACTGTGTTATACAGTCAGGTAGAAACTGTCCTGGGAATCCTCAACATTAACTAAGGACCAATGCTCCTCTAAGTTATTTTTAGTGTGCGGCCTACAAGGGCTATGCGTGGATTCGACTTCTGAAACTGGAATTTGATGTGTTGGCTATCGATCAGTGTGCGTGGAACTTCAGAAGAAAGGGAGTATTACTCAGGACCATGTGAAGTCTCCTGAATCAAGTCACACATAGGCAAGGAAACGTCCTGCTGATTACCATATACCAGGAGCACCCTGAGCTCCCGGATTGATGAATCAATGTTCCTTGATGTTGAACATCAACTGGAGAAAGCATGGAAGGTGACAAAAGTGCAATATAAACTGGGTGGAGGACTTCAATATCCCTCACCAAAAGTGGCTCAGTAGCATGACTATTAAAATATCTGGTTGAGTCCTAAAGGACACAACTGCCAGACTGCATTTGTGACAAATGGTGAGGGAACCAATAAGAGGAAACATCTACATGGCCTAGTATTCACCAATTTGCCTGCTGCTAATCTGTCCATCCTTAATTGTATTGGTGGGAGTACCAATCACACAGTCCCTGACGAGACAAAGTCCCATTTCCACGTTGCGGATACCTTCCATCATGTTGTGAGGCAAAGTCATCATATTAGATATAGCAACTAAAATCTGGGTATCCATGAGGTGGTATGGGCCATCAGCTGTAACAGAATCAACCATAATTTGGAACCTCATGGCCCACTCTACCAACACCATCAAGTCTGGAGATCAACCCTGGTTTAATGAAGAGTGCAGGAGGACATGGCAGCACCAGTCATGCATAAAAATGAGATGCCAAACTGATAAGTTACAATACAGGATCTCTTGAATGCCAATCAAGGGAGGCAGTACGCAATATACAGGACTAAGCAATCTGACAACCAATGAATGGTGATGGACACTTAAACAACTGGCAGAAGTAGGAGTCTCCACAAATATCTCCATACTCAATGATGAGGGAGCATTGAAAATAAGTTCGAAAGGCAAGGTTGAAGAATTTGAATCCATCTTCAAACAGAAGAATAGATGATCCATCTCAACCTCCTTCTGAGATAACCAGCATCACTGATGCCAGTCTTCAATTCTCTTCATGTGACATTAAGACATGTCTGGAGACACTGGATACTGCAAAGGCTATGTGCCCTGACTATATTCCGGCAATAATGTTGAAGTCTTGTTCTCCAGAAGTTGCCGTGCCCTAAACAAGCTGTTCCATTCCAGTTACAACATTGACATCAAACTGACAATGTAGAAAATCACCCAGGTATGTCCTGTGACACAAAAAGCAGGACAAATCAAACCCCACCAATTATTGCCCTTTCAGATCATCCGCAAAGTAATGGAATGGATTGGCAACAGTACTACCACATGCCCACTGATGCTCAGTTTGGATTCTGCTGGTGTCACTCGATTCCTGGTACAGCCATTGCTCACATTGCTGTTTTAAAACACAACACTTAAGTATTTTCACTTGTTCTCAATTCCTTTCCAGAGGAATCAAAATTTCAAATTTCTCTAAATATGATCCTTCCATTTTAAAATGTGTGTAGTTCTTGAGTGACTGTTTCCATCTGAAACTGTCCTTCTGTGTTGCTTCTGTTCGCTGGCTGCTTTCATTTGGCATTCTGGCTTGAAACACTGTGACACATCTGACAAAAAATGTGTTAATGGAGCAAAAGTGGCTTTAGTTTTGAACTTGCCTTATCGTGTTCAGGGGTCCAGGCATACACAGAGCTGAGGAGGAGTGATTCTGATAGCATAGCACCAAATCTGCATCTCTTCATCTCATAACAAATTAGCCTGACCTGAAGTATTAAACTTGATATTGCTGTAAGGTTAAATTCATCACTTTTTCTTTCTCTCAACTGTCAGCCAAGAGCCCGAAAGCAAAGAAAAACCAAAAGAACTGTGGATGCTGTAAATCAGGAACAAAAACAGAAGTTGCTGAAAAGCTCAGCAGGTCTGGCAGCATACGTGAAGAAAAAACCAGAGTTAATGCTTCAGGTCTGGTGGCCCTTGCTCAGAACTGAAAACCCCAAACACTGTTTGCCATTTTCAAGCTGCTCCATTTCGTACCTTTTCCTATGCCTGGAAAGACAAATGCTGTGGAATCATTGCATCAAATAGTAAACTTTTAAAAATATCATTTATTCATGTGATGTGGGTGTTGCTGGCTGGGCCAGAATTTATTGCCAATACATAACTGCCCTTGAGAAGGAGGTGGTGAGCTGCCTTCGTCAACTGCTACAGTGTATCCAATGTAGACACTGCTGTTAGGGAGGGAGTTCCAGGATTTTGACTGAAGGGATTGTGTTGGCAATGGTGGTGTCTGGGGCATTGTCTGTCAAGTATGATTTTGAGAGTATGACTGTGCCAGGCTGTTGCTTAACTAGTCTGTGGGACTTTTGTCCCAATTTTGACACAAGCCGGAGACGTCAGTAAGGAAGTTTTTACATAGGACAGGGCTGTATTTGCAGCTGTGGTTTCCAATACTAGGTGGTCTGTTTTGTTTCATTCCTTTTGGCTTTGTAATGATTTTATACGTCTGAGTTCCTCTCTAGACCAGTAACACTGAAGGAATGGTGATATATTTCCAAGTCAGGATGTTAAATGTCATGGAGGGGGACTTGCAGGTGATGGTGTTTCCATTTATCTGCTGCTCTTGTCTTTATAGGTGGGAGCAGTTGTGGGTCTGGAAGGTGCTGTCTAAGGGGGCCTGTTGAATTTCTGCAGTCTATCTTGTAGATAATACACACTGCTGTTACTGAGCATTGGTAGTGGATGTAGCGCCAATCAAGTGGGCTGCTTTGTCCTGGATAGTGTCAAGCTTCATGGGGGCTCTTGGAGTTACACTCTTCAAGCAAGTGGAGAGTATTCCATCAGACTCCTGACTTGTGTCTTGTAGGTGGTTAGGCTCTGGGGAGTTAGGAGATGAATTTAGGGGAGGCGATGGCCTAATGGCATTATTGCTGGACTGTTAATCCAGAGACCAGATAATATTCTGGGGACCAGGGTTCAAATCCTGCCACAGCAGATGGTGGAATTTGATTTCAATAAATATCTGGAATTAAGAATCTAATGATGACCAATATTCCATTGCTGATTGTTGGAAAAAACCCATTGATTTTTTAAATTCATTTTTTGTGGAACGTGGGGGTCGCTGGCTGGCCAGCATTTCTTGCCCATCCCTAGTTGCCCCTTGAGAAGGTGGTGGTGAGCTGCCTTCTTGAACTGCTGCATTCCTCCCGCTGTGGGTTGACCCACAATGCTATTAGGGTGGGAATTCCAGGATTTTGACCCAGCGACAGGGAAGGAATGGCGATATATTTCCAAGTCAGGATGTTTGGTGACTTGGAGGGGAACCTGGAGGTGGTGGTATTCCCATATATCTGCTGCCCTTGTCCTTTTAGATGGAAGTGGTCGTGGGTTTGGAAGGTGCTGTCTGAGGATCTTTGGTGAATTTCTGCAGTGCATCTTGTAGATAGTACACACTGC